GCGCTGTGTCCTGGGCTGGTGTCGGGGAGACCGGCAGCCCCGCGCCCTCCCGCCTGGCGGCCCCGCCACTCGCTCTGCACCTTTCTCCAACCCGGTTCCCGGAAGCGGTTCTGAAATGGTCCTCCTCGCGCAGACTTCTCTGACCCTCCAGGCTCTGGGGACTGACTTCCCTGAACCACTCACTCAACATTTCCTATACTTCCTGCATTTTTGCAATAACCTTTTAAGGGTACATGCTTTGTAAGCCAATTATAGTAAACTCTGGAGGGCCAAGAACATCTCTTATGTTCATTCCGTACCTCAGAGAAAGCAAAACAATGTCCTCCTCAATGTAAGTTCCAATCACTTGGAGGCTGTGATGTTAGACCGCCCTGACCGCAGCCAACTGTGTGTTAAAACCATGATGGAAGCTGCTTCCAGCTGTTCGCTCTAGCACATTCGCCATAGCAGTCAGCACATACAAGTTTTAATAATTTGCATGTTACAGGTATATGTGTTGTTGCTTTTGAGAGTACTGGATCCTTCATTGAGAGCTATTTTGCATTCCACTGTAGTAATGTGCAAAGTACGAAAGCGTCGGTATCCTACATCTGAGCATCCTGTGCCAAGAAGGTAGGTAGCTGATGCTTAGCTCGTGATTAAGAACATAAGCTGTGGTGTTAATCTTAGGTCCAAACCTCGGTTCCACTATTTACCAACTGTATGTTTGTAAACAAATGTCTTAGTCTCTGTTATCTAACATGTAAAAATACTGCCTCCTTCAAGGGATTGTTAGGACCAAGCGAAGTGATGTACATAGTGTTGAATGTAATACCTGGCATATTGTATGGGGCTGATAAATGGCATTTAAGGAGATTTTTCTTAAGAAATTAACCCTGCACAGGCAGGCCATTAGGGTTAGTGCGGAACTACCTTTGAGGGACTCACAGCCTGGCCTGTTCAATGTTTTTCAAGTTTACTACAGTAGTTAAGGAACCACAAAGAGTATGGACTTTGGAAGCTGGTGTTCAAACTAGAATCTAGAAACTTCCTTTTCCTTTTTTTTTTTGTACTGAACCAGGCAAGGAGGTTCATTGTCTGTCTTCTGGGAACTTACCCAAAGCTGGATCCCTGCTTCATCCACCAGGGCAGAACTCTAAGAGACTTGGCTCCTCCCATGAGAATTACTGTTGAACAAGCATTGAAGCCTCTGGTACAGACTGTTGATTATTTAAAAAACCAGACACGTTGCTGGGAAGTAAGGACCGGGAATTGGAGAATGTTGTGTCGTGTTATGATTATAACAAACCACTACAGTGTTGAGACTAGTAGCACAGAGTCAGTGAAGAAAGGAAATGAGCAGAGTTAAGTTTCCAACAGCAGGTGTCATGTGTAATGTCAACACTGCTCATGCATCTGTATCAGATGGAGCATCTAACACCTGAAAAGGGATTGGATATCAGAGAACCACAGGGATTTGTGCGCCAATGAGAGGGAGAAAATGTGTCTTCGTATTAGTTACTAAAATAGAAGATTTTTGCAATGAGTAAAAAACAAGGGGGCTTTTGAACAGTTTGGAGAATAAAATTTTATTGGAAGAAATTATATAAGAACTATGGAACAGAAGAGTCTCCAGCATCGTTAAGCTTAATGGAGAGGATTCAGGAAGAGAAGGAGAGGACACCAGGTGCTCTCTGGAAGCAGACCTGAACAAGCCGGGACTCTGAGGCACCCACTCAAACTTAAGCAGCTGCAGTTGATTTAAGTATGACTCTGCTCCTTGAGGTTAAACTCCCAACTAGAAGTGGAGCAAAGTAGATCTTGTCCTTTGGTCAAAAGACTCTCCAGAGCAAATCTGAAGCCCTAATTGCAATTTCAGCCCACTAATTTCTTACCTGTGAAACAGGTTCTGAGCACAGAAAAAATGTGAATGACAATGGACCGGAGATTCAGTCTTCTCTCATAGTCATTCTTAAACTCTAGTGCTGCCACAATTCAAATAATCAAGGGCCATACATTTCCAGGCAAATGTAAGATTCAGCCTGATTGAGCGAAACTGTTCTGCTGCTGGCTGAAATAGAAAGTTTTCCAAAAAGAAGCCTAACCCAGGGCCTGCCAAAATTAGGGATGCCTTTGCTCTTTGGGCCAGTCCTTAATTTTACTTAATTTGATTCTTTTGTTTACAATGAGACTGAGATTGCAAGATACCAAGTTTATTTAAGCTGAATCAGAGATGTTTTTTATACAGGGTGGGGCAAAAGTAGGTTTATAGTTGTGAGTACATGAAACAGTTTATTCTTATTTATTAATTATTGTACTATTTTTCATATGAACAATTGTAAATCTACTTTTGTCCCATCCTGTATTATATTGCTACAATAAAAGCTAATTCATAAAAATTAGCATACTTTTTTTTAAAAATATATATTTTATTGATTTTTTACAGAGAGGAGGGGAGAGAGATAGAGAGCTAGAAACATCGATGAGAGAGAGACATCAATCAGCTGCCTCCTGCACACCCCCTACTGGGGATGTGCCCACAACCAAGATACATGCCCTTGACCGGAATCGAACCTGAGATCCTTCAGTCCACAGGCCGACGCTCTATCCACTGAGCCAAACCGGTCAGGGCAACATACTTTTTTTTAGAATTATTTTAAGTTCAATACTACTTAAAACATTTTAAAACAGGTTTTGAAATAGCTTTGTGTTGAGCTAATGTTATAGAGAGTTACCAAATTCTTAAACTATTGAAAAGGCTGTGTAAGTTTTAATTGCAATTATTTCATTATCAATCTTTACAAGTAAAATAAAACTGACCTAAAAGTGTGAGGTTCCAAGGGTTTTTCAACAAAGAAGAAAAGCGTACTGTGAGAGTATAAACTTATATGAATTAAATCAACTGGCTAATCACATTTTTAAAAAATATGTTTTTATTGATTTCAAAGAGAGGGAGGGTGAGGGAGAGAGAGAGAGAAACATCAATGATGACAATCATCAATTGGCTGACTCCTGCATGTCCCCAACTAGGGATCAAGCCCGCAACCCGGGCATGTGCCTTGACCAGGAATAGAACCATGACCACCTGGTTCATGGGTCGATGCTCAACCACTAAGCTACACCAGCCAGGCATACATTTTTTAAAAGGTTCATAAGTCATTGAGAATTCCATAAGTACTACATGTTATTACCATAATTGTCAATGATGTCATTGCAAGTTCACATAGTACAACATGAAGCACATGCTGAATATTCCTTTTCTGTATCTGGTCATATTTGAACTGATTTATATAAACTTGTAGCTGCTAATCTATGTAGGTGCTCAGCAAGCTACTTAACAAAGCAGTGCTCAAAAACTTGTTAATCTAATTTTGAGAGTCCATAACCCCTACTCCTGAATTCCTCTCTCCACCTCTGATGAATAAAATGGAATTTAGGCATTCATGTCAATTGTAAAGTAAATTATAATGGAAGCAGAACACAAGAAAAAGTACATTTGGGTCTCAACCTAAAGTTCCACTGTCTTCCTGCCTAACATTGAGTCTTAAATACTCAATTCTACTGCCACCTGCTCTCAAAAGTGTTTCCCTCTCCATAGCCTCTTCTGTAGACATTATAGCACTTAACACATTTAATTGTAATCACTGGTTTTAGCCACTGAAGGCAGTCCTTTCCCACTTCTATATTTGCTGATCTTGGCAATGGCTAATACACGTTGAATGCTCAGTAAATGTTTGCTGAATGAATGAATATAATCCTTACATTCCTAACATCAATATTTTAATTCTTATGTTCACTTATATTCAAGTACATAGTACTAATATACACTGGCACAATGTAGGATTAGCTTTTGGTACCTGCTATTCTTCATTCACATAGTGATATTATTAATATAGATTAGCAACAAAAGGCAATTCCTAAAGAAATATGTCTCATAAAATAATACATCAATAAAATTAATATTGTGTTACTAACATACATTTTCTCATCCAAGACGGTCTCTCTCTACTTTCAAACCAGGATGTTTTCATGATTAAAACTTTAAAACTAGATCTAATTACTTTTCAATTCTAATTTTCCTTTGGCACAGCAAACAAACCATAAAACAGCAGTTTCTGCCCGTTTTAATAAATTAATGTAACTATCTTATCTTTATTTCCCACATATGTTCTTACAGGTAAAATTCCATTACAGTGAATTCTCTTAGATAGCCAAATTGATTGTTATTGCATTTATATATTATACAGATTTCAGGACTAATTTATTACCCAAATGCTAGGCTTCAAGAAGTAAAAGCCAACATCTGAAATCTGAGTAAAAAGTGACATATAGCCCTAGCCGGCTTGGCTCAGTGGATAGAGCATCGGCCTACAGACTGAAGGGTCACAGGTTCAATTCCAGTTGAGGGCACATGCCTGAGTTGCAGGCTCGATCCCCAGTAGGGGGCATGCAGGAGGCATGCAATCAATGATTCTCTCTCATCATTGATGTTTCTATCTCTCTCTCCCTTTCCCTTCCTCTCTGAAATCAATAAAAATATTTTTTTTAAAAAGTGACACATATAAATTCTATCAAGATCAGAGATCACTGTGTAATACAGTACTTTACTTTGAAATATGTACAAAATTATGAAACTGTCAAGAGATAGTTAATTTCTTTTTTCTCTTTCATAATAATAAAAACTCCAACAAAGTACTTTCTATACCCATTTATTCTTCATAATAAATCACTATTATAACTGACAATAATGAGAAACGAAAATACTTGAACTTTTAAAAAATACAGAGCCCTTCTTGATTAACAGAATTTGTTTTAATAAAATTTTATCTGTAGTATCTTATACCTTAGACAAGTAACCATTAAAACAAAGAAGACAATGCCAGAGTAGTCATATATTACAGATCTCAGGAAATAGACATTCAGAAAAGACTTAAGGCTACCCAGTAATAGCCTCTTATAAAACCCAACAAACCTTACCATTATAATTTGATTTAAAAGGGACCAAAATATTAGTGTCTGTTGAGCCAAGAATAAGAAAATCTTCCACTGCTGTCATTTTCATGTTCTTAGTTTTTCAATCAAATAGTCAGCCTGTAATTTTAAAAACACAACATGTTTTTTATCACAAATATGGTAGCTGGTGTGAAAAATTCTACTGGCATCCCTATAATAAACCACAGCAGACTAGCTGGATAATACATATTCTCTTCCTAAAAACATCTTACAGAAAACCTAAATATAAGTGGAATCATATACTATTTGGTTAATTTCCCTGAGCATAATGTCCTCAAGGTTTATCCATGCTGCAGCATGGGTCAGAATTCCCCTCATAAAAAAAATCATTTTTCAAATACAGTGGACATATTATATTAGTTTCAAGTGTACAACATAGTGATTAGATATGTCTGTACCTTAAGAAGTGTTCACCTCAGTAAGTCTGGTAACTTTCTGACACCATACATAGTCATTACAATATTATTGACTATATTCCTTATACTGTACTTTCTATCCCTATGACTATTTTACAAAAATGTATTTTTAATTAGTTTTTATTATAGAAGCATGGCTCATGTAGAAAATTAGAAATACAAATACAAGAAAAAAATCTTGTTTTTAGTTACACTGATATTTTAAAGACCACACCAACTGTCCTACAAAATATCACACTATTTCATTTCAAATACACACACATTCCTTAAATATATTTTAATTAAATAAAATCATTTAAGCAAGTTGAAGAAAGAAAAAATAAGTTTGAAATATGAGGTTTCTAGAAATCAGGTGTTTTTGAATTTCTTATTTACTATGACTATTATAATATGCATTAATTAATGGTAATTATTTAATTTACAATTTTATAATTACTCAGATATAGCAACTCTAGGTCACCTTATCATCATGGACACATAAAATAAGAGACTGGTAAATCACTAGGCAAGTGGCCCTGGAAGGACCGAGTCATTTTTTAACCTTGACTGTCAGACCACAGGTCTATAAGCAGCTGAATTCTATTCTACTTTTGTCCTAGCAAAGCAGAATTTTGCAATTTTTTAGGCTCAAAGCTTCAACCTCACATCTGGTAGTTGATGCTACTACTACAGCCCTTTTTTAAGAAGTTTAAATATCAAAAATTACAAAATCTCAATTTCTACTATAATGTTGCTAATGAAGACAGAGGCTGCAGGTAACATTTATTGAGTACTTACTATTTGTAAGGTACAGTTTTAAGTGCTTTACATGTAAATTATTTTATAAATTCTACAGAAATAGGTACTATTACCTATATGCAGGTAATAAAGAACTTGGATCCTTAAAAATCTTAAGTAACTTGCACAGGGTCCCTCAAGTAATTAATGAAGCCAGAATTTGAATCCAGATTTGATTCTGGATTCTGAACTATAAATGCCATGATTCTTCTATATCACATCCTCTACCTGCAATGGAGAGACTCAGCCTTAGCTTCTCTTCTACAGATCTGATGACCTGAAAAATCCCCCAAATTAAAAATATTATTTTGGATATGTGCAAGCTGTATGTTAAAATAGATGATCAAGCCTATAAAAGCTGTCTCCAAGAAAAGAAAAACTACATAAAAAAGGACAAATATTTTATATACTTTTATATGCTGCTAGTATAACAATAACACTTACTGTGATGAACCAATAGGAATTTGGTCTATAAACCAATTTTGATAAGAAGCCAAGCTGATCAACTGGTGCTATGACATGAAGGTGCAAGTGGGAAATGGAACAGAATGGTGGCATATGGAAACCCATTCTAAAACAGAAAAGTAAGAGATAATTGACAAATCAGTTCTACAATAGTTTCAAGCTATTTTTTCATGTTAAAATGCATAAATGTCAAAGAGATCCAACACAGGTTACCTAAGATAGATCTCCACTCAAACATCTCTTTTACTGTTTTTCTTTATTCACTCTAGAGTATTCACAAAGTTCCTCTTCTTTTCATGTTTAAATGCACAGTAACCTAAACTCTTCATCAAGAAGGTCTTACAGTATATCATGCCTTAGTACAACGGTTCTCAACCTGTGGCTCGCGACCCCTTTGGGGGTCGAACAACCCTTTCACAGGGTCGCCTAAGACCATTGGAAAACACATATATAATTACATATTGTTTTTGTGATTAATCACTAGGCTTTAATTATGTTCAATTTGTAACAATGAAAATACATCCTGCATATCAGATATTTACATTACGATTCATAACAGTAGCAAAATTACAGTTATGAAGTAGCAACGAAAATAATTTTATGGTTGGGGGTCACCACAACATGAGGAACTGTATTAGAGGGTCGTGGCATTGGGAAGGTTGAGAACCACTGCCTTAGTATAACCTTTATGAATTTGGAGTTGGCATTCCATCCTATCACTTTTGGCCTTTATCATATTAAGACATGCTAAGATATTTAATTATCTTAAGATATTTAATTATCCTAAGATATGCCTCTTCAATGAAGCTAAATAAATAAATAATTACTACAGGACACTCAAGTATGGTTCCATTATTCCAAGACACAGCCAGTAGATGGCAAGCATTCTCCTTTAATAAAAGTGGTAAATCATTTCCTTATGAACCAGGATTTTAGTAGTGAAATTAATTATGTATCTAAAAAAATTATCAGTTGTTTCTTGTTTAACAATAAAAATTTAGATGACAATTATTCATATTCATTTGTTTTAAAATACATAAAAGAATTCTTTTGACTAATAAAAATTTTTAAAAATATGATTTAACCTCTTAAAAATTAATTTACAGTTTTGCAAGTCCACTTATTCTAAGTGGAAGAAGGCACAGGAGAAGTGCTATATTGTATCAATATAGGACAATGTAAGTCAGATATGCAACACATATTGAAAAGCTTTCACCACTACCTAGAAAAGGAGACTAGGTTTTCTCTCTATGGAATACAAATTATATAATGTAGAATCAAGTAATCCAAAAGCTAGAAGAGACTCAGCCTTTTTATTTTAAATACTAGAAGCCAGCACACGATTGAAATCACACGAGGAGGCGCCCCGCCTTCCGCTGTGCAAGGAGGCACCCCGCGGGCCGCGGGAGTCAGGCCTGACTGGCACCTCGGGTGGCCGGGACCCACGCCTGACTTCCACCCCAGGCCCTCCCAGCCCCCCTGCCTGTGTCCGCTCCGGGCCGCCAGAGCCACTGCGCTGGGTCAGGCAGGCCCCCGTGTCTGTCTCTGTCTCCGCTCCGGGGTCTCACCTGCGCACACAACCTCCTCCTGTCTGGTCGTGACCCATTATGGCATCCCGGCCTAATTTGCATATTACCTCTTTATATATTTAGACTAGAGGCCCGGTGCACAAAAATTTGTGCACTCGGGGGGTCCCTCAGCCTGGCCTATGCCCTCTTGCAGTCTGG